TGCTTTTTTATAAAATTTTGTTTTCCATCAAATATTTTTATTATGATATGCTAAGATTAAAAGAAATTTGCTCTTGATTAGCTTCTTGGTTCCATGATTGGAGGTGGTTAATATTTAATTGGACTAAGTAATTATGATGTCAATTCTTTTGATTTCCAATTACTTAGAGTTAGAGTCTTCAATTTAACATATTAGGAACTCTTTTTTTTAACAGGCATCTACTCTTTAAATAGCAATTAACACTTTTTTTGAGGTAATCCTTACATTTGAATAAATCTGATTTTATTTTTATTAATTATTATTATATTGAAGTTAAATATATTTTGTTATCTTATATCAAATTATTGATTATTAATTTTGCGTTCTTTTTAGATCCTAATAATAAGAATATGTGCTTTATTTTTTGGAATTCTTATTTTCAATAATTAAAAATGAAAGGAGCTGGACTAAAATAAACAAAAAAATAATCAATAAAAAATATAATTATTAGTATTATTTCAATTCAAGTTATATAATGAGAAATTACATTTTAACTAATTTATTATTTATATAGAATTATAATTACACTCATTATTTGTTAAATCCTATAATGATAATAACATAGTAAATTATTTTTCAAATTTTTTTTACTATTATTACTTCTATTAATTAATTAATTTAAAGAAATTTCTCGAAAAGTTAGAAAATGGCCTGTCCTCCTTGTTTCAATAGGCTCAAAGCATATTCTTTTAATTTTAGAAAATAATTGAAAAAAAATATTCCTTACTAAGTATCAAATCTATTTATCAATACATTAGAGACATATATGAATTTAAATTATCTAATTAATTATTTTTTCTATCAATCAATTTCATTAAGTTATATTATTCATAAACAATAACTCAAAATATTATTAGATAAAAAAACTACAGACTTTAAATTAATTATTTACTTCTATTGATATCCTCAAGAGAGATTATAAATATTCAACCATATTAGCAAATATTCTATTCAAGTTGATTGAAATCAAAAATATTGATTATTAACCTCTAAAAGATATTTTGATTCATATTGTCTATTAAATTTGAGATACAATAAATTTCTAATAAAGAAATATTATTAAGAAAAATAGATTTGTCAGCTAATGATACAAATGTATTAATACTTTTAGGATTTATAATTATTAATAAAATTCTGTCTTATAGTCTCATTAATTGTGTTTAATTTAAATTTATCTACTTAACTCATTAATAATTAACATTAGATACATCTCTCTTTATCAAATATTTAATATGACATTAATATCATTTCTTTTAATAATTAGAAAATTGATCCATCCTGATTGGAGAATGAATAATAGAGTAAATTAAATAGATTTATAATTGCTATTAAGGTTGCAAATTAATATAAATTACAGAATATTATAATAAGATATTGTTATTTAAATAGATTGATAATTATTATATAAGAATATTTAAATCAATAAATTATCATTCATCAATTATCAGTTTAGGTAATACTAGGTTATCCAAATGCTATCAACCTATTATATTTAGCATTCATTATTATAGTATAGAAAGTGCCCTCATTATGTATTGGATATGTGTCCATCACAGTAAAAACTCCAAATTCATTCCTTAGATTAGTCTGTAATTATCCTAATAAATTTTCAGCAATAGTTCTTCTTAAATCATTTTATGGGTCTGGTAACCAATGATCATAATTTGTTTATACCAAGTATTAATAATTAGTTTAACCTAGAATAGAAGTATTCAAACTAATTGTTGGATTCATATCGAATGGATCTCTTGAGATAATTACTCCTTAATTTTTACTAGTTCCTCCAATAACATTATAAAAGGCACATGCTACTTAATTTTATTCTAAATATAAGACAACTCTATCGAAAGTGTTCAAATTATCATTAATTAACACATATCTATATTCCCAAGCTAAAGAGGGTACTCCTTATTCAATAAATGTAAAGAGTTGGTCTTTGGTGAGAGGATCACTAAATTTCCAATTTTAATCAAGTGATGCAACATTATATTTAAGTAAAGTAACAAATCCTACTTTGAACCATTACCAGTCAACTGATTCACCTAAATATTTACCATCCTTTTTTATTATCAAGTGTAAAGTAATATTTCTAATTTAAGGTGGACCTTGATCCATATTTCTACCATGTATAATTTAATCAGCAGTTGATAGTAGAACAGCTGTGGATTCAATGATTTCAGCTGATATATGAGCAATTTCATGAAAATATGCCCAAACAGATAAATATTCAAATGTAATTTCACTTCTATTGAACTCTTCTACAATTCCATCTAATTCCTATGAATATTCAGGATAATGTGTTCTAATTGCATTTGCTATAGTTTTATAATCTTATGGTTCCAAGATATAGAATGTATTTTTATTATGATATTCGAAGACTGGACCAAAAGAATTTTAATATCCATATAAGTCAAGTATGGTTCTGATTGCTAATTTCCATCTTTATTTTGGAGTAGCACTTAAGTCAATCTCAATTTCTGGTAAATAGTTGAAACTTGTCACAGTTGACAAAAACATAAATAATATTCCGTATTGCATTATTATTAATATTATTTTTATAATTATTCAATATTTAAATAACATTCCCTGATGACTTCATTTATTTAATTAATTAATTTACTTTTAATAGATTATATCATTTCTTAAATTTATATTTATTATATTTCTGTATAAATTTAATCAATTCATTAATTAATATATTTCAACCTTATATATTTAATAAATATTTTTAAACATTAAATTAAAATATATTAAAAATGGGTTGCTGCTTTACAAAAAAAAAGAACCAACTTAAACCCACAAAAGCTTATGAATACATCAATAAAAATAATAAAAATGACAAACAATAAGAACTTGAATAATCATTTATTTAAGATGTGGAAGTTATAATAATTGATAATAAAGAAGAAGAGTTAGAGAGACACTCACTTAAATCAGATTCAGAGTATTATTTATAAACTATTATATATAGTATTCATAATTGGGAATAAGGTGAAGTACTAGGATAAGGTGCTTTTGGGAAAGTAATAATGGGACTCTAGAAGAATGGATAAATAATGGCTGTGAAACAGGTTTTCATTTAAAATTAAAATGATGATGTATTATATGTAAATATTGTAGAAAGTGAAACAATTATAAAAAGAAATTGAAATGCTAAGTAAATTGTAACATCCAAATATAGTACGTTATATTGGATGTGAATAGAAAAATCAATTCATAAATATATTTCTGGAATATGTTAGTGGAGGCTCAGTCTATACTTTGCTGGAAAGATTTGGATGTTTTAAAGAGAGACTTATCAAAACATATTTGAAATAAATACTGTTAGGATTAAGTTATTTACATGCAAAGAATGTTATTCATAGAGATATAAAAGGTGGAAACATCTTAATTGATAATTCTGGTAGATGTAAATTAGCAGGTAATATCATACATAATTTTAGATTTTGGCAGCAGTAAATAATTGAATGATATAACACATGATAGTATAGGATCCATTTGTGGAACTCCAAATTTCATGGCTCCTGAAGTAATTAATCAAGAATAGTATGGAAAAAAAGCAGATATCTGGAGTCTTGGTTGTACTATAATTGAAATGGCTACTGGATAACCACCTTATTCTGAGTATAAGGATGCAATTGCAATCATGGTAAAAATAGGTAAATCTACAAAACCACCTCCTATACCAGAATAATTACAATCTCCTGAAGCTAAAGATTTCTTATCTAAATGTTTATAAATAGATCCTAAATAAAGAGCTACAGCAGATGAACTTTTAAAGCATCCTTTTTTAGATGAACCTAAATAAAGTTCATTATTGAAAAAGAAATCATCTTATACATTTAATTAGAAATAAGTCTAAACTTATAAATATCAAGTTAAAAATTCTTTTTTATTGGATGCTGAAAATTAAGATTAATAAATTGAACCAGTCTCACCATAATTTTAAGGATAACAAGGATAGAGTTCAACAGAAACTAACTTAATCAACATCAAGAGGAAGAAAGAAAAACCTCAATATTAATTAGTAATAGAACCAGAATAAAATGATTGTATTTTAACAGGATAAGAAACAAATATAGTTGATAATCAAAATAAGTTTCAATTTTCAGAGTTTAATGAAACTAACCCCAAAGAATCCTACATAAAACCATTTAATAAAGAGAACCCAGATAATCTATAAAAAGAATTGGACCTAATATTAGGATAATATATAAGTTGAAATCTTCAACAAATTTGATTATATTTCTCTCTTAATTAATATGGTATTATTATTATAATTGGTCAATTTTTGAATTCCTTTAGTAACAATTAATTCTAATTTATTAAACCACTCTGTTATAAGATTTCGATTAATTAATAATTGTAAAACTTTTACCTTTATTAATTACATATAATTATTTGCATGTCTATCAAATTTAATAATGTTATATATCCTCGAATTCAAAGTATTCTAATCCTACTATTTTAAATATAAAAGCTGATCTAAATCAGAATCATAACCAAATCAAACATTTACTTTTCCAAATTTAATATTTTCAAATGTTTAGCAAACATCAATATAGCCTATTATTTATAATAAAGAATCTTTCTGTATTACATATTACTATTCTAACAAAATAAAAAATTTTCTAGAAATCATCTATTTAATCACCTTTGCTTATAGGATATTTAATTTAAATATCTAATTGCATTTTCATTCTCTTCTGGAATGATTTTCAAACTAATTTTAATGCCAGCTTCAAATATATAATTGAAAATACTTTATAAAATGTTAATATTTTATGAACATTAGTTAATTGGAAAACTTATGAATTTAGTGATAATATACACTTTATGATCTATTTACTTCTTTAAATAAGATTTAAATTCTCAAATAAGTAACTCAATTATTATTATTTTTTGAAATAAAATAATAATAAAGGATGAATATGAATAATAGAAATAATTTATAAATATTATCAAGATTGGCATTCAAAACATTTTCTAATGATGATACCTACTTGCTATTGAAACTATTTTATTTAAGAGTCTCTTTGCTAAATTTTTTATATTAGTTTCATTTAAAATATAGTTTAATTTGTCAACTAATTCAATTAATCTTAGATATAAGGATTGCTTTCTGATTTGATTTCAACATTCTTTAAAAATTATTAGATTTATGTGAAATTTATGTAAAATGGTATTTCATTTTTATTATGATGATTAAGATTATTATTATAATAATTATAATTTGAATGATTATTATTACTATTATTATTACTATTATTATTATTATTATTATTATTACTATTGTTATTATTATTATTATTAATAGTAATTTGATTGCTTTATTTATTGATTTCCTTAATTTCTTTATTGGTTTTCTTGTTAAATGTAATTTATCCTTCTCTAATTTTTGATGTCACTAAATGCAAGCCCATATTTAAACCTCTTAAAATATTATCAGGGGCATGTTCATCATTTTGTGTTTAACTCTATTATGATTGTAAATGATAACAACTGGTCTGTAATTCACCTAATTATTGAGTAACTTCTTAAACAACCTTTTTCTGAATGTTAAATTCTTCATTTGCACTAAGTTCTTTGTCTTCTGTATATAACTAATTTAATATATAAAATTTAATGACTTACTTTCGAAAATTTGGCATTTTCATAAGTTGACTGCTTATTTCCAAAAGGGTCCAAAACAACAATTCTTATTTTTGATTCAATTTCTACTCTTTCTCTTCTAGAAGTTTTCTTTTCACTTCTTCCCTCTAATTCATAAGTAAGCAAAATGGCTTTGCATGTGCAAGGTTTTGTTTGATATTTCTATGCTACCTAGGTCTGATTCAAATTGCTACTTCAGAAAGAGGGATTTTTTCCACTGTTAATGCATGTAAAATTTAAGCACGTAATTCTGAGGATATTTTATTATAAGGCCGCTTAGTCCTTGCAGTATCATCAGTAGTCTACAGAGATTAAATGACAGCTCCTTTGAGATCCTATTCCATTATGTTTATTTAATAAATGAGAATAGGTGGAGAGATTTTGGAATTGGCTAATTTCCACAGAACATCTATGGACCCCCTTCTAAGAATAAAAAAAATATTCTTGTGGTATAAATGTTTCAAATTTATAAAATTTAAGGATTTATCATTTTATCAATATTTTAGATAATTTGTATATTACACAGTCACATTTTATTTAAAAGATGATTGCCCATATTTATAGAGTTGACTTATTTAATTATTGTTATCATCTATTTAAATTGCTCAACATTTAATAACTCTGTAGGTATATAATAATTACGTATCAATACATTAACTATCTTTAATTAGAATATAACAAAAATGATTGAAATCACTTTGATGTAAAATTTATTAATAAATTTAATATGAAACCTTAGAAAACTAATGATATATAGTTAATGACATAATTAGACCTAATACAATATTAATAACTCAAAAATACTCTGTGAATTACAAAAATAAACTATTTAGTATAGCAAATATATGATATGAAATCTGTATAAAATAATATTATCAGATATGAAATTACAAAATTAATTAAAGAACATTCAAAATGGAAATGTTAATTACTGCAATAATTCATATTTAAAACTAATAAATGACTAATTCTTTTAAGTCACTCTATTTCTAGATGGAATACAATAAAATAATAATTATTTATTTTTCCACATTCTTAAATGTTGAAGATCAACAAGACTAAGTTTATAACATAATGTATTTAAAATAAGACATAAATTAAAGAAAAAAACATATAAGAAAAAGTTTAAGATTTAAATTTAATATTTCTAATCAGAATATGAATTTAGAATGATATATCTCATATAATAAGAAGAAGTAATTAATATTGAAATAAAATATATAGATAATTCATGTCCAGAATACACTAATATAATAATAAAGAAATGTTAATTTTTTATTAGTAAAAAATATATTTATATATATATATTATAAATAATAGTATTCATAATTGATGTTGAATTTACTATTCATTTTAATGATCACCATTTGTTATGCAACTAATAATTCATCTGTATGCATAGATTAACTAAAAAAATTGATTGAATTACCTATTGATGAATAGCTTTAAACAATCTTACCTTATTATTCTCTATCAGGTGATTGGATAGGGAAGTTCGGATACTATGATAGATGTTATAGAAATGACTATTCTTATACATCAGTTGAGATTGATTAACAACTCTTTAAATAATATTATGGATTTTGTCATTCCAATTAATGTTCAGCCAAAGATTTCAATTCGAAAGATGGATAATAAACTATAAAACAACTATTGAACAACAGTGGAATTGCAAATCTATTTAATGTAAATTAATGCATTCAATGTAGATTAATCCAGATACATTATAATTAAATTTCTATGATCCATTATCTTATTTTCCACATCTTGGTTGGGAAACCTACGTTACATCAGGAATATTATTAATCTTATTTATCCTTATAACTATTGATCCTATATTGAGATTTATAACAGCATGTTAAAGCAAGTATACACCAGATGTTAGAGATTAAAGATCTTCTAGTTTACAGAGTCCATAGTGGCTTAGAGAAGGTTTATAGGATAAAAGTCAATATTAACCAACATCTATTATTAAAGATTTCTCAATCATTGTGAATTACAATAAAATAATCAATCTTAAAACAATAGATCCTAATTTAGCCATATTTAATGGAATCAGAGCTATTTCATTTATGATGGTTGCTTATGGACATGTTAATGAAATGACTGCCACTACTACATATATTAATGAAGTTAATCTTCAATATAAATCTTGGGTTATTATCATACTTTATGATATGATGTATGCTGTTGATATTTTTTTTTGGGTGGGAGGTTTCTTTCTAGGTTATGTGATGTGTGAAGAAAGAAAAGCTTAAACTTTACATTAGAAACCATAATCAATAATATTAAGTATTACTCATCGATTAATGAGAATATGGCCATGTTATTTATTATGCATTGCTATAAATTCATATATAATACCTTATTTAGGAAGTGGACCTAGATGGTTTTTATAAGAAAGAGCAACTTAATGTCCAGGGGGAGCATGGAAAAATGCCTTATTTATTGATAATTTTTATGAAGATTGGCTTATATGTTTTGGTTGGGGTTGGTATTTAACATGTGATTTTCAATTATTCTTAACATGTTTAATACCAATAATAATTTATTGTTATGATTATAAACTATTTTCAAAAATACTAATAATATTGATGATTATTGGAACTTTAGGATGGGCTTATTATCTTACACTTCATTATGATTTTCTTATACCAGGTAGAAATACTTACAATCCAGATTATTATTATAAATTTTATGTTAGTTCTTATGCTAGAGCACCTCCTTATTTTTTAGGTTTATTAATTGGTATACTTTATAGAGAATTCAAGTAATCAAAAAAAAGTGGAAAAATAACTTATTTGCATTAATTTAGAGATTATGCATAAAGTAATGGATAGAGATTAATAATGTAATTAAGTTGTTATGGATTGGGATTTGGAATAATGTCATTTCTTTTTTTTGGATGGAAAAAAGAATTTAATTAGATTGAAATGAGTTGGCCAAAATGGTTTTAACATATTTATCATGCTATTTGTAGATTTTTATTTACTTTTGGATTGACATTAATTATTTTACCTAATTTAATTGGAGCATATGATTTGTATATATAATATTCTTATTTTAGATTTAATACTAAATTTATGAATAATACTTTATTTAAATTGATGGCAAAAATCTCATTTACTATGTATTTAGTACATTTAATGATAATTATTATTTTGACTGAAACATTTTATGAAACTCCATCATTTGCTTAATTAGACTTAATAACTTGTTTTGTTTGTGCTGTAACTCTTTCAATTGTTTTTGGATTGTTTTTATCACTTTTAGTTGAATTACCATTTGGAAATCTGGATACTAGATTAATAAAAATTATAATGAGACCAAAGAAAAAAGTGGATACTTTATTAGATTGATTGATTTTTGATAAATTTGTTTAATAATGAAAAAATAATTGTTTTTAATTTTATTTTTATAGAAAATGAGACTGAAAAGAATCAAAAAATTCAGGGTAATATTTTTAATGTTGATTTTGATAATGATTATATTGGAGTCTCTTATGGATACTTTATGTGTAATTAAGAATGAGGCTCATTTAATACTTTATATTTTCGATATTTTTCTATATGTGCTCATTATATATGTAGAAACATTATAAATAGATTACTTAATATAAGTAATAAAAAAACATAAAAATCCACATATAAGAGGAAACTTAAAATTTTATGAAGGTTTAGTTTCATTTTCAATGTTACTACTATTAAATCATATTTGTTTTCAAAGTTATTTTATGTATCTGAAGGGTGGAATATAAGAATGTTATTATTTATCTTAAGAAGGAAATAGAAAATTGATGATTTTTTTGTTTACATTATTCATTGAATTATTAGTATTTTTGGATCTACTAATAGTTTGTATATAAGTTTATAGAATTATTAAAAAGGATACAATTAGCAGTTCCAATTTTTTTGTACTTCATAAGTACCTTGAAGATTATTTAGCATATGAACGTAAATCAAGGTAAGCAAATAGCTCATCTTCATTTGAATCATTGGGAAACTTTTGAATGTTTTTATGTTTATATAATTAATAGTAAACAATAGATATATGATATTTGGTTATATAATTATTAAATATTTTCATATAAGTTTTAGTGTAGAGAGATTAATGTAATATTTAATTACTCTTCAAAAAAAAACGGAACTTGTTTATATTAAATAAGTCTTTATTATTATTATTTATTATTTATTGATTCAAATGAAGAAGTTATAAGTTTACTTCTTATTGATATTTATGATTGCATTGACATGTAAATGTAGTTAAACAAAATTAGTTTAAGAACAAATTAAACTTGGAAGCTATGTATAAATTCATGATCTAGAAAAATTGAATTCAATAGAGTTCACAAATCTAAATTGTGACTAAGACTTACTTAAATTGCAGCAATCCTTACAAACATGGATTGAAATATTCAAAAATAAAGATTATTTAGATGATGATGTGAATAATCTATCAGCATTAAAACTCGTTATTGAAAATATAAAAAACAATCACAATCCTGAATTGACAAGTATATAATACTTATTAATACAGGACTCTTCCAATACAAATAATCTTATGTTGAACTAGTCAATTCAATCAGTTTAAATGAACTAACAGCATTTGATTAATGGAGACAAGAAGGACCATAAAAGCTAATTTAATCAATTAATCTCATTGAACAAGCTTAATCATTCTCAGATATCCTAGAGTATTGCACTCAAATTGATTAAATGATTAATCTTCTTATTAATGAAAGAGAAGAATTAAAAGAAGAACTTAATACATAACAAGTAACTATTTTACAATTAATTATAGATGGTAGTAGATAAATTAGAACAAAAATCAAAGGAAGTTTAATAAGCACTTGAATAATGCAAATTACAATAATAGCCTTAATCTTAAATTAAATAACCTGAAATTTAATAACAAATTACAATTGAAGATAATGGATTAATACATGAGTCATCTATTGATCAAGAGAAACCAGTATTTGAAAATACTATAGAAAAAGAATAAGAATTTATAGAATATGGATATGGATATTGGTTAAGATTTTTGACTTTATATCCAAAAAGATTAGAAAATGGAAAGGATGCTCCATGGTATTTTTTAAGTAGATTAACATCTAATAAAAATTATTAAAATATAGCAATGAATGATAGATTATTGGCAATATGGTTAGGATAAGGATTCTATCATTTTACTACATGTGATGAAGTTTAAAATTAACCAAATATAGTATAAAATGTTAATCATCATGATGATATTGATGGATAATGGACATATATTTATTATTCATATAATTCTATTTCAAAATAAGCAATTGGAATTATTCAATTTGGATAAGAATAACCATAATAAATTACTCATAATGTATTACATACAAAGTCTAAATACTTAAGATTTTTAGTAGGTGGCAAAGACAATAATTAATATCCTGGATTTAATGGTTAATTTTCATCAATATTCTTATCAACTAATTCTGGTGTATTTATTCCTACTCTTGATAAATTTAATATTTTATTTAAAACAGTTAAATAACCTTCATAAGATTTCGAATCTATATTTAGAGTTCAATTGATAGATTAAGAAATAACTAGAAATCCTATACTTGAAGGAGATTATATGGCAGTTGGAGGTGGATCCAAGAAATTCCCTTTAGAATATTCTATTAGTGGTTGGTTTAAATGGGAAGAGATTGTTTAATAAGTTTGGCATTCAGTTTTTAGAGTATAAATTAATAAACCATCAACAGATAAGTTTTTAGGAGATAGAACATTATGTATGTTTATAGGAACAGCATAAGGAGGAATATTCCATTTTCCTACTTATTCATATTAAAATATGAAGGGAGAGGGAACTTCTAATTTAGTTAATAATATTCATCACAAAAATAAACATATTGAATGGTTTTTTGTATATTTTGGTTATTCTAAAAAATAAAAAAAAGCATTTGTATAAGTTAGATTGTCATCTGGTATTGAAACTTTAGAATATAATGATGTTAATCATTATTATACACCTTAATTTTATACTTATGTTGGTAAAGATGAACATTTTCCAGGATTTAATGGTAAAATTGCATATGTAAATTTTGTTCTTGGAACAGGATCTTTTAGAAATAAACCAGATTTCATTATTAAAGATGATTTATTTGGTTATGAAATTGGAGATACAAATCTTATAAAAAAAGTGTAAAAATAAAATGAATAAAAAATTACAGATGATATAAAATAAGAAGAACCTCATAAATAACCTGAAGAAGTGAAACCAGCATTATAAGATAATGAAGATAGAGAAGTATCTTTTGAATCTACTGAACCTGTATTTGAAAAAGAATATGAAGATTGTCCATAAATTTATGGATATGGATTTTGGCTTAGATTTATGCATACTTATCCTAAAAGACTTTTATAAGGTAAGAATGCTCCTTGGTATTTCATTTCTAGATTAACATCCAATAGAAAATATGAAAATGTTTAAATGGGTGATAGATTATTAGCTATATGGTTGGGATAATCATTTTATCATTTTACTACTTGTGATTCATAAAAGAATTAAGCTAATATTATATCAAATATTGATTATCCTACAGATATTGAAGGAGTTTGGACATACATTCATTATTCTTATAGTAAATAAAATTAGATGGCAAATTCATTTATAAGATATTCATAATCTGATATTTAATCTACAAGTATCTAAGCAGTACATCCTGATATAAGTTATTTGAAGTTTATTTTTGGAGGTAATGATTAAAATAGATATCCTGGATTCAATGGATTCATATCTAAAATTATGATTACAATTTCAAAAGATAACTTTTTTGAAACTAAAGATGAATTCATAGCATTTGTGTCTAAATTAGAATAACCTAAAGTTGATCTCACTGATTTAATAACTTATTAATTAATTGAAAATGAAACTTAGCGTTAAGACACTGATGAATCTTTGGATAAAACTTTAAATGATAAAAATTAGAGATTCCCTTAAGAATATGCTATTAGTGGTTGGTTTAAATAAATTGGATAATAGAGATCAGCATGGCACAATATTTTTAGAGTTTAAATTTAATCACCTTCAACAGATATTTATTTGGGAGATAGAACTTTATGTATGTGGTTAGGTTCTATAGAAGGAGGAGTATTACATTTCCCAACTTATACATATGATGATACTAATCCAAAAGGAAATCCAAACTATTATCAAAATATCAAACACAATCAAAGACATTTGGAATGGTTTTATGTGTATTTTGGATATTAGAAATCTACAAAATTAGCATATGTTTAAGTAACCTGGCCTAAGGATACATAAGATTTATTGTATTAAAATATCAATCATTATTTGACTCCTTCTTTTTACATTTTTGTTGGAAAAGATAACTTTTATCCAGGTCTATCAGGAAAATTGGCTTATGTCTACTTCAACCTAGGGAATGGATCTTTTAAAATGAAAAATGATATATCAGATACAGTTGAATCCTATTTGAAAGGTAGTTAGGTTATAAAACCATAGATTTCAATTCCTTAAAAAAAATAATAAGAATAACCTACTTAAGAAATTAACTAAGTTAACTAAGAAGTTAAATAAACTAATTAAGAAATTAATTAAGAAGTTAAATAAACTAATTCAGAGATGACTAATTAAGAAATTAAATAAACTAGTTAAGATATTAAACAAGTTAATTAAGAAATTTAATAAACTAATTAAGAAATTAAATAAGTTAATTAAGAAGTGAAATAATAAAATTCAGAAATAAAATAAACTAGTTCAGAAGTTACTTAAGTAAACTAAGAAGTTAAATAAACAAGTTAAGAAGTTACTTAAGTAAATTAAGAAGTTAAATAAACAAGTTAAGAAGTTAAATAAGTAAATTAAGAAACTAAATAAACAAGTCAAGAAGTTAAATAAGTTAATCAAGAAACTAAATAAACAAGTCAAGAAGTTAAATAAGTTAATCAAGAAACTAAATAAACAAGTTAAGAAGTTAAATAAGTAAATTAAGAAACTTAATAAACTAATTCAGAAACTAGATAAATTAATTAATAAGTTTAATAAACTAATTAAGAAGTTAAACAAGCCAATTAAGAAGTTAAATAAGTAAACTAAGAAGTTTAATAAACTAATTAAGAAGTTAAATAAGTTAACTAAGAAATTAATTAAGTTAATTAAGAAGTTAAAAAAGTTAATTAAGAAATAAAATAAGTTGAATAGTAATAAAATAACTAACCTACTCATAATGAAGCTCCTTAACCTGAATAAACAGCTATTGTAGGACCAGTTCCTTTTGATAATGATACCATTATAGAAACTTATTCAGATACACCAGAATTAAGACCTGGTAAGCCTGATCAACCAGAATAGTAATAATGTTAAGAGTAAATTAATGACAAAGATACTCCAACTGATAAACCAATAATAAAAAAAATTGTAGATGATATTATCTAATAGAAAGAATAAAGTTCAGAAGAAACTTAAACAGTCAATTAATAATAAGTTATAGAATCTAAAGAAACCAAAGTTGAAGAAAGTTAAAATAATTCTGAATAAAAATAAGAAATAATTGAAAGAGTAGATCAAAATATTGAGTAAAGTAAAACAACTACTCAAGAAACTCAATAAGTAAATTAGACAACAAACATTAAAGATGAAAAAGTATCACAAACTACATCATAAGTTAATGAGACAAATTAAAATACTTAATCGGTGAATGAAACTACTTCCGAAACTAATTAAATAACCTAATAAACAAATGATGTAACATAAATTACAAATAAATAAACCTAATAAACTAATGAGAGCATTTAATAAAATAATAAAACAATTTAATAAACTAATGAGACTGTGTAATAAAATAATAAAACAATATAAGNTTAATTAAGAAGTTAAATAAACTAATTCAGAGATGACTAATTAAGAAATTAAATAAACTAGTTAAGATATTAAACAAGTTAATTAAGAAATTTAATAAACTAATTAAGAAATTAAATAAGTTAATTAAGAAGTGAAATAATAAAATTCAGAAATAAAATAAACTAGTTCAGAAGTTACTTAAGTAAACTAAGAAGTTAAATAAACAAGTTAAGAAGTTACTTAAGTAAATTAAGAAGTTAAATAAACAAGTTAAGAAGTTAAATAAGTAAATTAAGAAACTAAATAAACAAGTCAAGAAGTTAAATAAGTTAATCAAGAAACTAAATAAACAAGTCAAGAAGTTAAATAAGTTAATCAAGAAACTAAATAAACAAGTTAAGAAGTTAAATAAGTAAATTAAGAAACTTAATAAACTAATTCAGAAACTAGATAAATTAATTAATAAGTTTAATAAACTAATTAAGAAGTTAAACAAGCCAATTAAGAAGTTAAATAAGTAAACTAAGAAGTTTAATAAACTAATTAAGAAGTTAAATAAGTTAACTAAGAAATTAATTAAGTTAATTAAGAAGTTAAAAAAGTTAATTAAGAAATAAAATAAGTTGAATAGTAATAAAATAACTAACCTACTCATAATGAAGCTCCTTAACCTGAATAAACAGCTATTGTAGGACCAGTTCCTTTTGATAATGATACCATTATAGAAACTTATTCAGATACACCAGAATTAAGACCTGGTAAGCCTGATCAACCAGAATAGTAATAATGTTAAGAGTAAATTAATGACAAAGATACTCCAACTGATAAACCAATAATAAAAAAAATTGTAGATGATATTATCTAATAGAAAGAATAAAGTTCAGAAGAAACTTAAACAGTCAATTAATAATAAGTTATAGAATCTAAAGAAACCAAAGTTGAAGAAAGTTAAAATAATTCTGAATAAAAATAAGAAATAATTGAAAGAGTAGATCAAAATATTGAGTAAAGTAAAACAACTACTCAAGAAACTCAATAAGTAAATTAGACAACAAACATTAAAGATGAAAAAGTATCACAAACTACATCATAAGTTAATGAGACAAATTAAAATACTTAATCGGTGAATGAAACTACTTCCGAAACTAATTAAATAACCTAATAAACAAATGATGTAACATAAATTACAAATAAATAAACCTAATAAACTAATGAGAGCATTTAATAAAATAATAAAACAATTTAATAAACTAATGAGACTGTGTAATAAAATAATAAAACAATATAAGAAACTAATGAGACTATTTAATAAAACAATAAAACAGTTTAATAAACTAATGAGACTGTTTAATAAATTAATAAAACAATATAAGAAACTAATGAAAATACTTAATAAATTAATTAAAGTAATAAATAAATAACTGAATAAACTGAAGAATCTACTTAAAAAACTTAATAAGTTAATGAAACCACTTAACAAATAAATGAAACATCAAAAGAATAAGTGAAGACAGTTGAATAAACAATAGAATAATAAAATCAATAAATAGTGTAATCCGATTACAAAATTATTGATCATAAAAATGATGATACTAGTGATGAATAAACGATAGACATGCCCATATAAGAGGATGATTTATGTGTTTAAAATTAAGATGAAGAATTAGAAGATGTTTAAGAAATTAAGATTATACCAGGATAAACTTATGAAAATTAAATATCAAATGACATAGAAGGAAAAAATCCAATAGTTGACTAAGGAATAACTGTTGCAAATAATTATCAAGAATATGGTTATGGTTTTTGGATGAGATACTTAACATTATATCCTAAAGAGTTAATTAAAGGTAAAGATGCTCCTTGGTATTTCATAAGTAGATTGACAAGAAATAAAAATTATGAAAATATGAAGATGGGTGATAGAGTATTAGCAATATGGTAAGGAGCAGGATTTTATCATTTTACTACATATGATATAGAAGGATTAAAACCTAATGTATTATTGAATGTTGATTATCCAAATGATATTGAAGGTGTTTGGACATATATTTATTATTCATACAGTGCAGAACTTGAGTAAGCTGTTGGACATATTAAATTTGGAAATTAAAAGTTTTCAACAATTAAGTAAAATGTGAAACATGCTCCAACAATATATTTGAGATTTATTTTAGGAGGTAGTGATTAGAATAGATTTCCAAGTTTTAATGGAATTTTCACTAAAATAACTTTTGGTATAAAAATGGGAACATTTCTTTAGACATCAGAATAGTTGATAATGAAATTAAATATTCATGATGCACCTTAATAAATTGTGGAATAAGTTCAGAGTTTTAGAATAGTAGAAAATGAGGAAGCACGAACATCAGAGAATATATATGAATACAAAGAAATAAGGAATAAGAAAGTTAAGTTTCCTACAGAGTATGCTTTGAGTGGATGGTTCAAATGGTCTACATTAATGGAGAAGGAATGGCATAACTTATTCAGAATATAGATTAGAAAGGAATCAACAGATAGTTTTTTGGGAGACAGAACATTATCATGTTGGATTGGAAAGACTTAAGGAGGTGTTTATTAATTCCCAACTTATACTTATACTAATATGATTGGTAATGGAAATGCAAACTTATATAAAAATATAAATTTAAAGGATAGACATACAAAATGGCATTTCATATATTTTGGATATTCAAAGATCAAGAGTTAAGCTAATGTTTATGTGAAATGGTAGGAAGATGAAGATTAATTAATATATGATAATGTAAATCATTATTATGTTAAAAAATTATATGCATATGTTGGAAAGGATAAATTTTATCCAGGATTGAATGGTAAAATGGCATATGTAGTTGTTAATTTTGGATTGGGTGCATATAAAAATCAAAAACAATTTGATGAAGAGATTTTCAATTTCAATTTAGGTATTAAGGAATTGATTAAAAGTACTTAAGATGTTTAATTTTAACCATTAATAAGATAAGAAAAAATAGAGTAGAGTGGTTTTGATTCAGATTAACCTAGTTTTGAATAAGTTGAAGATGGTGAGAAACCATTTATGTAATATGGTTATGGTTATTGGATGAGATTTTTAACACTTTATCCAAAAAAATTATAAAATGGTAAGACTGCTCCTTGGTATTTTGTTTCAAGAATGACATGGAATTAAAATTATAATGATATTAATATGGGTGATAGAGCATTAGCAATATTTTTAGGTAAAGGATTCTATTCATTTTCTACTTGTAATTTGATTACAAAGAATACAAACTAAGAATAGAGACTTACACATCCAGATGATATCGAAGGGGTCTGGACATTTGTTTATTATTCATATAGTAAAGAATTAGGAAAGGCTGTTGGTTTTATAAGATTTGGAAATGATAAATTTTAGTAGATATAGCATACATAGGTTACACATTAAGATACTAAATATTTAAAATTAATAGTAGGTGGAACAGATAAAAAAAGATATCCTGGATTTAATGGTTAATTTTCTAAGATATCATTCTCATCTAAAGATGGTTCTTTTGTAGATTAAGAGAAGATTTTGAAATCTTATACATTAGAGAGAAGAGTTTAAAAAATTATAACTATGAATGTATTGGGAGATTAATAATAAAGGAAAGCAGATGAGGAAGGAGTATTTGCTTAAAGTGATAAGGTAGATTTACCAACAGAATATGCTATTAGTGGTTGGTTTAAATGGTTATTGATAGACAAATAGGAACCTTTACATAGTATGTTCAAAGTGACAATCAGAAATCCTTCAGATGATTAATTAGGAGATAAAACATTAGTAGGATATATAGGAACAAATAATATAGAGTTTTCTACTTATAGTTTTGAGAATATGGAAGGAGGTGGTAATAAAGATATACAAAGAAAAATTGAACATAAGAATAGACATTATAGATGGTTCTTTGTATATTTTGGATATTAACATGAAAAATCAACTTGTCATGTTCATATTCAATGGTCAGATGAAATGTCATAGTAAGGATTCACACATATTAATCATTATTTGACTAATCAATTTTTCATTTATATTGGTAAAGAACCTCTTTTTTCTGGATTTAATGGATTGATTACATAGGTTAAATTCAATATGGGTGAAGGAGCATATAAATAAAGTACTGATTATAAAGATTAGGATAATATATTTGGTTTTGATTTATAATCTATTAAGAAAGAAATTAAGACATTTGATATAACAAAATCAAAGGAGAAAATTATGATAGACTCAAATAGTGATGAAGAATCTAATTATATGAAAGTATTTAATAAAGAAGAATTGGATGAAGTTTTTGAATATGGATATGGATTTTGGTTAAGATATTTAAGGAATTATCCAAAAGTATAAATTGAAGGTTTAAAAGTTGATTGGAGTTTTATAAGTAGATTAAGCAAAAATGATGTTTTATAAGATGTTACTTTAGGTGATAGAACATTGGCAATTTGGTTGGGTAAAGGATTCTATCATTTTACTACATATAATTAATAATTCTCTAATATTTTTAATAATGTGAATCATCCATCTGATATTGAAGGTTTATGGACATTTATACATTATTCACATAATCTTAATAAAGAATAAAGTGTATCATATATATAATTTGGTAATGATAAACCAATAAGATCTGCTTAATAATGTGTTCATGTGATTCCATCTATTTTAAAGTTCTATTTGGGAGGTAGACACTTGACTTATAAAGGATTTAATGGATAAATAAGTGGAGCTTATGTTAGTGTGAATAAAGGAATTTATATTGATAATGAGGAAAAGTTTTAAGATCTATTAAAATCTATACCTTAACCTACAACATATAGAGTAGAATTGATATAAAATGTATTATTGGAGAAAAATACAAGATTTGAAATGAATTCAGAAGCAAAATAATTTGAATTTGAAAATTAGAAATTTAGTGGAGAATATTCTTGGAGTGGTTGGTTTAAATGGTCTAGTGTTATTTAAAATGCATGGCATTTAGCTGTAAGATTGTCTACACTAGAAAATTATGAAAACAAAAATAGTTTGGGAGACAGAACATTATGTTTATGGATTGGATAACAAGCAGGTGGAATATTGTATTTCTCTACATATACTTATACAGATTTATATGGTTCTGGAAATGCAAATAGTGTTTAAAATATTTAATATAAGGATGATATTGCTAAATGGCATTTTATATATTTTGGATACTCAAGAGTTTAATAATTGGCTTATGGTAAAGTTGAGTTTGGATTTAGAAAAGAATAAGTAAATTTTGAGAATCATCATCATTATTTACCTAATAAATTCTTTTTATCTATTGGAAAAGATAAATGGCATGATCCTTATTTAGGTAGTATAGCTTATTTGAGATTCTAATCAGGAGAAGGAGCATTTTATTAAGGAGAATTCAAAGATGCTAAAGATGATTTATTTGCTAATAAATTGGGATCAATGGAATTATTAAAATCTAAATTAAAATTTGATGTTGATAAAGATGCTACCACTAAGATGTTTGCATCTCCATAAGTAGATTAAAAGGAACCAATATTTTCTAAGATATTTAATGAAGAAGAATTGGAGAATGTTTCTGAATATGGTTATGGATTCTGGTGTAGATTTCTTACTAGATATCCAACTTAATTAATTGAGGGATTAAAAGCAGATTGGTCATTCATATCAAGATTGACTAAAAATTAAAATAAGGGAGATATGAATTATGGAGATAGAACTTTGGCTATATGGTTAGGTAAAGGATTCTATCATTTCACAACATATTCACATAAATATGCTAATATAGTTCATAATATTGATCATCCAGTAGATATTGAAGGATTATGGACATTTATTTATTATTCACATAATCTATACAAAAAAGAAAGTGTAGCTATGATTAAATTTGGAGAAGGTAAAGTAATAAAGGGAGTTATTCCAGCTATTCATTAAAGTCCAACCTTCTTATAATTATACATAGGAGGTAATAATATGAAATATGCTGCCTATAATGGATAGTTTGCAGGTATATTGTTTTCAATTGGAGAAGGAATATTCTTATCTGATGAGACAGCTTTGGAAAAATTATTAGATAAATTGAAAAAACCAAATGATTATAGTTTGAAATTATAGACTAAGGATATGATTACAAAACCTAAGTAATCTTTTGTTGCTTAGGAAACAGTATTTGATGATGTTCCACTAGTTGGATAATATTCTTGGAGTGGTTGGTTTAAATGGAAATAAATGGGATAATAATTCCCTTGGTATTTAATGGTTAGATTAGCAATAATTAGAAATACAAGTGATATCAAATTATTGGGAGATAGAACTTTAATGGCATTTATGGGTCAAGGTTATATTCACTTTACTACATATACTTATAAAAATATTTATGGAGAAGGAACACCAAATATTTGGTAGAATATAAATCATGATGGAGAACATATTTAATGGCATTTTGTATACTTTGGTTATTCAAGAGCTTAAAGATTGGCTTATGCAACGATACATTTTGATGATAGAATTGAATCTGTTTCATTTAAAGATACTAATCATTTCATTCCAAATGTATTTGCTTTAACAATAGGAAAAGATAAATGGTTTAATTAATATAATGGAGATATTGGATATTTTAAATTTAATGCAGGAGAAGGTGCTTTCTAAACGGAAAATTATGATAAAGTATAAAATGATATATTTGCATTCAAAATTGGAAGGTTATCTACAATCAATCCTAATAAACCTCTTCCAGAAGAAGTTAGAAAACATGAATATTTTGACAATTCTTTAGAGAGTGAAACAGTCTATTCATTTGAAATATCAAAAGATATTTATGAATAATCATTAAATTCACATGTACCTGAAATAATAGGAGGACAAGGAGAGATTACTTAAAGTGATGAATAAATTGAAGAAGAGAAAAAAGCAATTGAAAAATAAGAATAAGACTTGAAAAAAGAAGCTGAAAAATTTAAGAATGAAAAATCAGTTGGAATCATAGAGGGCCATTATTAGTTTCCTGATTAGGATAAACAAAGAGTAATATCTGATGAACCAGTTGATATTGTTAAACCTATCTAAGAATAACCAAATAAAGATGGAGATTAACCAAAATAATAATAATAATAATAATAATAATAATAATAACAATAATCAGATTGGGATGGATTAAGATTCTATGGATATGGATTTTATTTGAGATATCTTACAATGTATCCATAACAATTAAGAGATGGTAAAAGTGCTCCTTATTATTTCATTTCAAGATTAACTTGGAATCCTTAACCATAAGATATTGGTATGGGAGATAGAGTGTTAAGTATCTTTTAAGGATAAGGATCATATAGTTTCCATACTCTAGATAAACCATCCAATAATCCTAATTTAAGAACAATTATACCTTATGGTGATATTGAAGGAATTTGGACATTTGTATATTTCAGTTATTCTCAAGTAGATAAAAAGGCTGTAGCATTTATTAAGTATGATGAAAATGCTGAAATATACAGAAGGGATATTGTTTGTAATCATGGAGATGTTGAGTATTTAAAATTAATGATTGGTGGAAAATAAGGTATTTATTAAGGATTTAATGGTTAAATTGCTAATTATGCTTTTAAATATGGTAAAGGAGCATATATAAATGATTTTGAATTGTACAAGAGAGTTTTATCAAATAGAATTCCTCATCCTTTTGCTGATGATTATAAATTCAATTAAATTAAAATTATTGAAGCTTAAGCTGGTTTCAAAGGAGATGAATAAACTGATAGTATAAAAGAAATAGAGAGTCATTTCTAAAATGAATATGCTATAAGTGGATGGTTAAGATGGGATTAACCTATTGGAGCTCCATTCTTTGCTATCTTTAGATTAAGTGGATTTAAAGTAGAAGATAATAATGATTCTAAATTAGGAGATAGAGATATGATGCTATTTAAACATACTTCATATTACTTATTCTAATCATATAATTATCACAATTTAAATGGAGGAGGAGATTTTGCAATTAATTGGTAAGTGAATCATCAAGAATGGGATCAATTTTGGCACTTTTTTTATATTGGTTATAAACGAGAAAGCAAACAACTTTATTATTATGTCTCATTTATTGATGATGAATTCGATTAAGTACATAATAATATCCATCATTTCATTGTTCATAAACATTATCTCCAATTTGGTAGAGACTATAGTAAATTCTATAGTAAACATAGAGGATTTACAGGATAAGCTACTTAAGTCATCTTAAGTTATGGTAAGGGATCTTTCCAAACAAAACCCTTTAATAATGATATATTCTTGTATATGAAAGGAGTCAAAGAACTATTTTCATCTTTGGAATTAATCACAAAGGAAAGTGATCGAAATAAATTGTTAATTGCAGATGCTAATAAACAAGATACACTTATGGATCTTGAAATTAATGATGGAGCAGATTATAATATTAGAGGATTGAATGAATATGGATGGGCTTTATGGTGTAGATGGTCTAGGACATTAACTAAACCTATTTAATTTAAAGATGCTTGGTACTCACTTGCAAGAATTGCCAATAGAAAAGGACATCAAGATTTAGCAGTTCCAGGTGATAGAACTTTGGCAACATGGATAGGCATGGGATTCTATCTTTTTAGTACCTATACTAGAGGAGTCTTGTAATTAACTGAATCAATTCCTTATGGAAAATTTGAAGGATAATGGAATTTTGTTGTTTTTGCTTATCGTAAAAATATAGCTAAGGCAAGTGTCTTATTTGGATAAGATTCAACAATTATAGAGAAAGAATTTAAAGTGAAGCATAATTTAGTTAAAGATTATTTAAGATTTATTGTTGGATCAGAATTTAACTATAAATTCTTTAATGGACATTTAGTAAATATATAGCTTAGATTGGGTAGTGGAGCTTATCTAAATAAGGAGGAAATTTTAATAATTGCTAATGGAGAATTAGGATTACCTGCAGAATCAAAATATGATTAGAGTAGAAAAACAATAGAAATTGTTAAAGAAAGAATTCCTAATTCTGGTTAAGGAAGAGAATTTGATATTAAAGAAGAAATTGCTTAAGGTAAATTAGAATATTCAATATCTGGATGGGCTAAATGGGTAGATATACCAGCTATATAGCCTTGGTATGTTTTATATCGTGTCTCATATTATGATTATAATGAGTTATTAAATATGCAAATACCAGGATCAAGAATCTTTTCTTGTCATAAAGGTTATGGATTCTATCATTTTAATACATATACAGTGGATTAAGAGAATGGAGGAGCATGGTAAATTGTGAAGAATGTTGATTATGATTAAACCTTACATAAAAATTGGGTATTTTTCTATTAAGGATATTCACATTAAAAACAATAAGTTCATCTTTATGTAAAATATCCAGGATAAGAAGAACATTATACATTTATTAAAATTAATCATTTTATTGCTTAAAGATTTAAGATTCATTTTCTATTAGATAGATGGAATCCAGGTTTTAATGGATATATTGAAAGTTGGTACTTTAATGTTGGTTCTGGATCTTATAAAGAAAGTGGATATGGTATAGGTGAAAATGAAGAAACTACTTTTGGATTTGGATTGCATAAACCAGCTCAACCAAAGAATTGGTAATTTGATGATAATTATGCTTGTGGATTTACATAATAAAATGTAGGTTAAGAAGTAGAATATAAAGATGATTTATAAATAGATGGATTAATTGAATATGGATATGGTATGTGGACTAGATTTGCTTGGAATACTCCAATTAAAATGATTAATAAACCAACATGGATGGCATTATCAAGATTGACAGTTAATCCAAACTATTAAGGTGATGCTGCTTAATTAGGAGATAGAGCTTTGGCTATTTGGGTTGGACCAGGATTCTATCATTTTACAACATCTACAAGAGGAAATTTCAATGTAGTTAACAATATAGAATATAATCAAATGTTAGATGGATAATGGAATTATATTTGGTTTGGATATAAAAGAGTAAATGATAAATAAGGTAGTGCTATTGGATATGTAGTATTTGATGGTTAATTAATTAGAAAGACAAATTTAGGTAATATTATTTAACAACCTTTGAATGACTATTTATATCTAGCAGTAGGAAGTTCAGGGAGATACTTTTTGGACAGATATCATTAATTTAATGGTCATATTTAAAAAGTCTCTTTAATATTGGGATCTGGAGGTTTCTTTGAAAATGAAGATTTATTAAGAAGACAAATCCCATCTAAACCAGAATTTTTAAGAAATTAAAAATTATTTACTAAGATTGTTGTAGATGATGTTAAAATTATGAAAAGAGAAGAATGGGTACCTGCACCTGTAGAATTTGTTGATGAATTTGATGGAGCTTATGAATATTCAGTATCATTATGGTTCAAATGGACTAAAACATATAGAGTAGCATGGGAAAATGTATTCTCCGTTTCTTATAATGAATAAAATATAAGAGCTAATCATGCTAAACCTGGAGATAGAGTCTTATCTATGTTTTAATATGCAGATCATAGAATATTCTTTAGTACTTATACAACTCCTGGTAATCATGATCAGTTTGCTCATTTATACACTGAATGTCCAGTAGATATACCATCATAATCTGAATGGGTTTATGGTTATTATGGTTATAGTAGAAATTAAAATAAGGTGATATCATTTTTACAAACAAAAACATAGAAATGTTTAAAGGCTTTACCTTGTATGCATAGAGTGCCTAAATATATGGGATTATATGTTGGAAAAGATGGCATACATACTCCATATAATGGTAAATTTAGTAAATTATATTTTATGGGACATGCAGGATCTTATATTGAAGGAAATTTCTAATCTTTTGAACCATTTGCTGCTGGAGGAATATCAACTACAAAACCAGTCTATTTCTGGAGTGATTAAAAAGAGAAATTTGAGATAGCATACGATTAAAATAAAGTATTTGAATTAAAACCAGAAGAAGTTGATGAATAAACTTCATATAGTATAGGTATGTGGACAAAATATTTTACTGCAATTCCAAAAAGACTTCTACAAAAACCAGATTGGTTACATATTGCTAGATTAACTATCAATCCTAATCATAAAAATTATGAAAATATTGGAGATAGAACTTTGGCCATTTTTATTGGAAGATAATACTATGCATTCTTTACTTATAATTCTGCTAATAACAATCCAAATATAGTTTAAAATATAAGATATGAAGATAATTTAGAAGGTGAATGGAATTTCATCTATTTCTCTTATAATTCTGAATTACAGTTAGCTACAGGTTTTGTTGAATTCAGTAAACTTGATAAGATTTAAAGAATTTAATTTAGAGATATTTAACATAAACCTATTGATAATTATGCAAAATTAGTTATTGGAAATGAATTTTCATATCAAGGATTTAATGGATAAATTGCTGGTTTATAGTTAGGATTTGGTAAGAGATATTATGTTCATGACACAGATGCTCTAAATAAAATCATTTTAGAATTCTTCAAACAACCAGGTGATGAAGAGGATGATAATAAAAAAATCAATATTGTTGAAGAAGTAAAAGAAAGGGTATTCAATAATGGACCTGATTATAAAGAAATATTAGATTAGAAAGGGGCTGAAGAATATGCCATGTATGGATGGTTTAGATATACAAGTACTTAATTAAAGACTCCAAATAATTGTATAATGAGATTAACTAATAATGAATAAGCATATAGAGGTGAAATAAGTAGAGTTGGAGATAGAACATTATTAGTTATGTTGTAACCAGGTGAATATGTATTTGCAACTTATTCACTTGGTAATATAGATAATGGATAAGTTGTGAATATTAGAAAGCCGACTCCATATAAAACTAATCTTGGACTTTGGACTTATATTTACTTTGGGTATCATTTTTAAAAAAGAAAAGCTTCAGGAATCATCAAGTATCCAAGTGGTTACGCTTTAGTTCCTTATGATAATGTTTTACATATGGTTCCAAATTATTTATTATTCTTTTTTGGAGGAGATGGAATGCTTGGAGGATGGCATGGTTAGATGCAAAAAGTTAATTTAATATTTGGTAGAGGTGCTTTTGTAGATTCTACTAAAGGAAATTTTGAAGAAAAATTGCCTAATTTATAAGGAGTGGAATCTAAGCCTTTGATTTGGGATGGAATAGACAATAAAATTATTGAAGTACCATTAGTTGATAAGCCAGGATTAGATATTGTATTTAATAAAGATGTAAATGGATTCACTGAATATGGATATGGATTATGGACTAGATGGTTGACTACTATTCCAAATAGAATTATAGAGAAAGCTCCATTTCATTAATTAATTAGATTATGTAGCACAGAATAATATGAGGATTCTGTTTAATTAGGTAATAGAGTTTTGGCAATTTGGATTGGTAAAGGTTATTATCATTTCACTACATATAATAAAATTGGAAACAAGATTTCCACTTCTTAGAATATTAATTATGATGATAATTTAGAAGGAGAATGGAATTACATCTATTATTCATTCACTAATAAAAAATAAGCAAGAGCAGTTGGATTTGTATATTTCAGTGAATAATCAGGTACAGCCATTTCTAGAGTTGAGTTTTTAAATTTAGAACATGTACCACTTAATGGATATGCTCGAATTGTGGCTGCTAATAAAGAGTTTGGGTATTAATCATTTAATGGAATGATTGCAGATTTACAAATTCATTTAGGAAATGGATTTATAGGTTCTAGAGAATAATTGATCAAAGAAATTATTCAACTTAATCCAAGACCACCTTTGGAAATTAAATCTAAAACAGATGTAAATTTGATAAAAGAAGAAGTCATAATTAAGCCTGAAGAAAAGAAAGAAATGAAATATAATTACTAAGAATACAAAGGAGTAAATGAATATGCAGTCTCTGGTTGGTTGTAATCAAAAGTTATGGGTTTGACAGAAGCTTATAAAAATGTATTCAGATTAACAATTAATCCACCAGATTTCTAAAGAGATAAATAATATGCAGGAGATAGAACATTATCATTATTTTAAAGTAAGACTAAGTTAGCATTTTCAACTTATACATATGGAAAGTTAGATACATAGGGAGATGATAATAATGAATTTAATAGAATTATCAATTCTGGAAATAGTAATGGTGAATGGGTATTTGTTTACTTTGGATACTAATTCAAATCATAATAAGCCTTTGCATTTACACTTTTCTTAAATCGACAAGATAGTGCTCAATTTAATAACATAAAACATTTTGTTCCTAATTAATTCTTCTTTTATTTGAGTAATGATGGATATTATCCAATATTTGATGGTAGTTTATTTGATTGGAATCTTTATTTTGGAGATGGAGCATTCACTAAAAAACCAAGATAAATAATTAATTAATGGCCCATTGAACCAATTGACGAATTTGAAGGAGTAATCTCTGCACTCTTATCAAATAAAGGTTTAAATTCTATGAAAGTAATAAGACCTGAAAAAAAGGAAGATGAAGAAATTATTTTTAAAAATAATTTCCCTAAATCTGGAACTATTTCTGGAAATCCAATTCCTCGTTCTGGTTAAACATAAGTTGATACTAAATAGCAAAAGCCAACATCTTAAACTATTGTTAAATAACCTTAATCAGGATAGCTTAATACTGAACAATAAAAATAATTATAATAAGCTAGAAAACCATTATCTGGAATAGCAGATCCAAAATGAAAAAATTGTATTATAGTGCTATTCATATTTTAAAATATTATTATAACTAATATTAATTAATTAATAACATCTTCTGATTCTTATTATTATCCCATATAATCAAATCTTATTGAATTTTAAATTACTTATTAATCTAAATAAGCTTTTATTTTCAATTATAATTTTAATTACAATTTAAAAATTTATTATTATTTTAGATTATAATAATTATTTTTATATTGTAATAATATATTGTTAATATATAATTATTCCATATTTTATAAATTATTGAAATATTTGATTGATCTTTTACTAAACAGATGTATTTCATAAATAAATGATCATTTGATTTATGATAAAGTTGTAAAAACAATTATATTCATTAAATATAGTCATATGATTGGAAATATGGAAAGGTTAGATATAAATATTTTTAATAGATTCTATTATCTTTCAATAGGATAGTAGTACTAATCTTATGGTTTTACGTAAAAACAATAATTTAATTATCTATACATATTTAATTTAAATAATTCAGATTAATTTTATCAATATATAATTATTATATATAAATTCAATAAGAACAACAGAATTCTTTTTAAATTAAAAATAATTAATATGTAAAACAATTACGATCAACTTTTAGAAGAAACTAAAACTAAAATCCTTGCTATAGTCGAACTTAAACCAGAAAACCAATGGACATTGGATACTAACAAGGATGGCTATGCAATTTATACTAGAAACAATCCTGATAATGGTCTAAAAATCAATAGAACAGAAACAAATGCTGTTGTAAATCCAGAGGAGTTTATTAATTTTGTAATTGATATGACCAAAAAGAAGGAGTACGATTCAAATTTCTAAGAAGTATTCTTATATATTAATATTTAATAGGGAAGATTAATATCAAAAGTGGATTAAAACACTTTCATATTTTATGCAAGAGGAAAACCACCTACATTCTTTGTAGATGCTAGAGATTTCTGTATATTGACAAGAGTCTATAAATTAGGTGAAGATCACTATATGACAATTAGTATAAAATTATATCTAATTCATTAGGTAAATCAATTGAGCATCCTGAAGCTCCAGCAGTCAAGGGAGTTTAAAGAGGAGAGATTGTATTCTAAGCTTGGATTGTAAAAAAGTTACCTAATGGATAATCCAATATTATTATCATAGGTAATATGAATCCAAAGGGTGATATTCCTAAGGCCATTATTAATTAAGGTGCTTAACTATAAGCAGAAGGAGTTAAGAAAGCTATTGAGTATTTGACAAAGAACAATAAAAAATGATTAATATAATATTAGTAACAATAGTATATTTCTTTCAAAAAAAACAAAATTAGAACTAAATAAAAAATCACTTAGTTTAAATGTTTAATTAAATTAAATACATTGATTCTCATGAACTTCCATATTCTATATTATTTCTATTGGTTAGAACTCTAAATAAATTTCAATTTTTAATTTATGAAACTTTACATTTCTATTTATATAAATTTTAATTTAAGCTCTTTAAAATTAAATTAATTGAATTCATTTTCATTTGAATTTCAAGTTTTGAAATCATAGTATATTTATTTAAATATATTTGATATAAAACTACATTTTTAGATAAGAATATATATAATATTAATCGAATTTGAACTTTAGTAATAAAGTGCTTTAAAATTATGGTGTATAACAATAATAAAATAATTATATTGATTTATAAGGATTTTTTTATAAGAATTATAATAATATTGAAATAACAATAAATATATATATTTTTGACTCAATTAAATACGTGATTAAAAGATTCCAATTTTATTTATTTTAATAAGAGCTAAAGAATTTAATTATTAATTAATTTAAATAACAACACAGAATTTATTTTGATATTGAGAAGCTTAAACTTAGATTTTGATATTTAAAATCTATTTTAAAAGAATGTAAATAATATTTATATTATATTAATTATATTAATATTTTAATTCTTTTTCATATAATTTTTTATACAACTTATCTAAACACAAGGCCAGCGAATAAATTCTTTTTATTTGATATTTTATCTAGAATTCTCCGTAATAATTATTATTTATTTACAATCTTACTAATTTTTGTAATGTTGTTATGCGGATAATAGAATTCATATTCTTAAACTTTATCAATATCATATTCATTATATTTTTCATCTTTAGAAAGACTCTTTTGAGAAAGTGAATGTTAATGTTCATTAAATTATGAGAAACTTTGTCTTCTTGCCTAAGGTGATTAGTATTTATCATCTTCATCATCACTCAGTTCTTATTGTTATTGTAGTTGTTCATAACCTGGATATCCAATTTTATTCAAGAATGCTTAATCAACTTATACACCTAATTATGTTCTCATCTTAATTATATGATCATAAGCTCCATTAATAATACCAGTTCTTTATTATTTGTATTTAGATTTTTTTCTAGAAAATGTTTATCTATTTTATAAATCATTACTATGATAAGCTGCTAACACTTTACTATTATTTTTTTTAAAGAAAACAAGTGGGCAATTTTTAAATTAATGATGAGATTGACAAGCCTCACATATAATTAAATTTGTATTTTGACCAAAAACAGTATTATCTATGGCATACCGATATTATTCAAAACTAGCTCTATGATTTTGTATTATAGATTAAAATTCAGAGAGATTCAAATAAGCTACTTAAACAAAAGAAGATGCAACAATATTATATTGCATTACATCTTGATAAAAGAATTCTCTTTCACATAGTAAATTACCTTATTAATATCTTTTAATAGATTTTTCTAATATAAGAGATTTAACTTATCCTGCTAATACAATGTATAATTAATTTGGCAATTCATCTTTTCTAAATTCATAAAATATAATTATTACTTAATTATGACTTCTTCAGGAGCAAATGTCTTTTCATGAACACAGAAACATAACTTTTTGATTAGATCATCAGAGAAGTTGGTTCCAAATAATTTAGAATGTTTTAGATAACGATAATACATTGCAATTTATACTTCCTATTTGAGTTTAGGATTAAGTTGTCCCATTAGTTCATCTAAATCTAATTCTTCATCTTATTTAAATTATAAATAATATTCTATATATTTTCTAACTCTAAATTGCAATTAAGTATTCAATCCTCTCTATTTAATATGATTACTCACTAATCTCAATCTCGAATTGTTTATATTAGTTTATTCTGCCATTTTATAAAAAATACTTTAAATCATTCCTAATGCATAACCAAAAACACCAGTTACCAAAAAAGTTATTATTGTTACTAATATTTTTTCAGGAGTTGTAACTGGAACTATATCTCCGTATCCAACAGTCATTGATGTAATAGTAATCCAATAGAGTGAGTTGAAATATTTAGTATACAAATCTTCATCAAATATATTCTATTGATGTAACCAAGTATGAGTATAACCTTAGTCTACTTCGTAAAGAGCAAAGTAATGGAATAGACAAGCACAAAAATGAGAAATCAATAATAGTGAATATATTAGACAAAATAGTTAATAAATTATAGCACTTTTCTCTTTGAAATTTGATATCTCTTCAATTACTATCATTGTTCTTCTGACTCTTGTCATTCTAATCAACATTAAATAATTTGCAGCTGAATATCCCATCCATGATAAAATGAAGGGCAATACAATAGCTAAATCTAATGCAAAGTCACCTTTAATGTAATGCCAAAAGATTTTTGCTTTATTCCTTTACAATATTCCTCTATCATAATATCCTTTAAAAAATGTTAGTATTAGATCAATCAAAAAAATACAACTTGGTAATGTACTAAAAAGAGTAAAGACACTACCCATATTGTCTTCATTTAGATTAAATGACAGCTACAAAGGAACATAGAAGATATTTGCAATTGTTACCAACATCATCAAAAGATCCCAAACAAAAAGGAATTTATCTGCAGGTAATAGAACTGTTTCATCACTTTTAATAAAACACCAAAAACGCCACCATAATGGATTAGTAGCATGAGCTTCATATTTTATTTGTATCCACTAAGTTATTAGAATTTATTACTCTTGATGGTTTCTGGAATAACATATAATTATAAAGATAATATTGAAATGAAGCAGCCTTGTCTCTGATTAATAGAAAGATGTTTTTCTTCAATAATTTAAATCTATAAGTAGTTGAATTATGTTTAAGCCTAGTAATAAAAATTGTTATTTTCTGAATGATTCTTAAAGGCTTAGATTTCCACACTCTAAAAATATAATTTATTTATTTTTACGAATTATTATCTAGCATTTCCAATTACTTCTCAACTTTATTTAGAGCATCTAATTCTATCTCCTAATCTTCCATCCTCTCTTGTTCTTCTTTCCTAAATCTAATTTTTTAGAGTCTGGGTATCATTAAAAATAAAAATAATACTTTTTAATTTTATGTACGTATTAAACATGCATGAATAAAAAATTACATTAATCACATTGCTCATAATTATTCCATAACAAATCATTTCAATGTTTCCATAGACAAAAATCAATTTCTCTTTGCAATCATTACACATCAATCAAATTAAAGAGATAATTCTCTTTTATTGTAAATTTAATTTAGACATAGTACTTATTCTATTCTTCCATAATACTTTTTTTTTCTATTTGAACAAAAACAATGATTTTATATCTAAATAATTATTCAAATATCATTAAATGTAGATAGATATAAATAGTGAAAATTTAACATTTTATCATAAAATCCACATTAGCAATAAAATTAAAAATAATAAAAAAAAACAAGCAAATTAATTTAGAATTTAAATTTATTTCATTAATAATTTCTATACTTCACTTAGACTGAATCCTATACTATATTTATATCTATTATAATAAGTAAATCAAATATCCCAATAATTAATAGGATAAAAAAGTATTGAATTTAAATAAAAAACACAGAATATAAAGTTAGAGTAACTGAAAAAATATTTAAAATATGAAATCATTCATATCACTTATGTTTATAGTAAATAAATTTAGATTTTCTGCAATCCAAACAATACCATTTACTACTAGGAACATTAAATTCTAATTAAGCAGGATCACAAAAAGTGTGGCAAAATGCATCATTACATTTATCACATATCAACATTAAATAAGGAGTGTGTGAACATTAACATACTTAGCATCTCTCTTCATCATCATAATCACTTTCATCTTCATAAAATTCATCATCTTCTTAATTCCATTTTGGTAAATTTAAATTTAATTATATTGGGTTGTTTTCTCTTTTTCCATCTTTTATTGGATAGATGTAATTGAATTTTGCTCGACAACAAGGACATTGTGTTTTATATTTTTCTGCCCATTCTTTAATACAAGTTGAACATATCTAATGTTTACAAACATCAATTTCACAAACATTTTATACATCATCTAAATTCAACATACAAATAGGACATTCTTCTTATGTTTATTATTTTAATCTAGCTTTTTTCTTTGGTCCAGAAATAAAATGTTTAGGTAATTTGTTTGAACTAGGTATTTTTTATTACTTAATTAAGAACAAAATCTTACTTGTTTAGGTAGAATAGTTACAGTCTCTTTAGTATCTGGACTGTCTAAAATTAATTTCTTTCTTCTTTCTTTTTGATTTGACCATTACATCTATTTATCTTGTACTTGATTAGACTGTTTGGACATTTTTTACTTTATTATATTATTTAACCAAATATTTAATTAAAGTACTATAAATTCAATCATAAATATTAAGATCATCATTTCTTTATAATATTATCAGAATGTCATCAGATATCTTAGAAATATTTTAAGTCCACTTTTAGATATTAAACAATAATACAATCTGAATTTCTTTCTTCTAACCAATTTCATTCTCTACATCTTTTTCTAGACATCTTAGCATTCAATCTTTATAAAGAGTATTAATTTAAAGTTTTCAAATCTTGAATATGTGCTTCTATATCCTTTGAGACCATTTTTTAAATTAATCAAACTATCATAAGAATTTCGCATAATATAATTTTATCAAGTCCATAATTCTACTATAGTATTCTATTTGGAGTTCTTTTTAAGAAGTATTTTTTTTAATCATATCCATTTTAATAGGAGTAGTATTAAATTTATGTTAGCCAATTTCTTAAATAAATACAAAACCGACCCCGTGTTTAACAACTTTTTTATCATCTTTTAAATATTTTAAAACATCTTGTATATTTACAAGTTCTGGAATTTCAATATGTTATTCATATTTTAAAAGCAAATTCTAATTCTATTCTCATACGATAAATTATTTCTTCTATGTTCTTTAGCCAACACATTTGCCAAAACCTTACCAATAGCAAATTCTCCATGCAATAATTTACCTTGACTTGCAAATTCTATTGCAAGACCAATGGTATGTATGACCATAATTTAATATTATTCTAATATTTTGCTCATATTTATCTTCATTTATAATACTTAACTTTAAATTAATTCCATTTTTAAGAATATCTAATAGAATCGCTTAGTTATTTGGATTCATTTAATAATTATAATATTAACATTCCAATCTTTCAAATAATTTTTATCAAAACAAGCTGTTATTTTAATGATTTCTGCTAAACTAATTAGAATATTTCTTTTATCTAATGATTGCAAAAATTAACTACACTATTTTTATTCGATGAGGATCATTTAGAACTCCTAGTTGATTATTACAATAAATATTGTTGATAACTGTCTTTTATCCATCACTAGCATCTAACATTCCCAACATCTATGTGGGAATCAAGATAAATATTATTCTGTTGAATAATTAAATATACAAAACCCTCTCATATATATGTTGGATAAAATCCCATTAAGTTAGTAACTACTCCTTTTCCAACTGCAATTATTAAATCTTATCTACAAAATCTTTTGCTAAACAAGTATTCTGCTACTTCATTCTCAAAATGTAACTCCTTCTCCTATAGGTAATGTAAATGTTATCGCTTATGGAAATTTTTAACAGATTTACTCTAAGTATTATGAAATATTATTCACTATAGAGTTATACAATATTAGTATCTGAAACTTAATATTGAAAATGTAATTACAAAATAGATTTATGGATTTTGAAGTTCATGAATAGTATTTGATAGAGTAACATGTGTTTCATTAATTTTTTTATGATAGTCTATTAGTGAGTTTTCTTGATCAAGTTATTCTAAGTTAATAAAGCTCATAAATTAAAAACGTATTATATATATATATATTACTATCAAAAACGGGTAATAAGTATAAATCACATGATCATGGTTGGATGCATAATAAATAATTAAAAAAATGGCTAGATCATTAACAATATTGGCTATTGTTATTGCAGTTGCTACAGCACGATTGACTAAGACTGAAAGTCCTAAAGAAATTTTGGCTTAAGTCAACAAGGATTCATTTGGTAATTCCATCCTTTCAGTTCTCCAACTCTAATTGGCTACTGGTGGACCTGTTGGAGAGATCTAAATCCTTTTAAATAACATTGCTTCTTAATTGAATGGAGATTAAAAGAAAGCTGACAAAGTTCACGAAAGTGACACTGTTGCATTTGAGAAGATCATTGCTGACTTAGAATAAGAAATTGCTTATCATTAAACCTAAATTGTTGCCCTCTCTAACTTGAGAGATTCAACAACTGAAGCCTTAGGTGAAGCTGAAGCCGAAGTTAGAGTTGTCACATCTGATATTGCCAATAACGAAAAAAGTTTTGCTGACGAATCAGCCACCAGATAATCATAACACGAAACTTGGGTTAGAAAAGATGCAGAACATGTTGATTAAATGGATGCCATCGATGAAGCTTCAAAGATTGTTCAACATTTATAAGCTGGTGTTGCATTTGCTTAACTNTTTAATGATTTCTGCTAAACTAATTAGAATATTTCTTTTATCTAATGATTGCAAAAATTAACTACACTATTTTTATTCGATGAGGATCATTTAGAACTCCTAGTTGATTATTACAATAAATATTGTTGATAACTGTCTTTTATCCATCACTAGCATCTAACATTCCCAACATCTATGTGGGAATCAAGATAAATATTATTCTGTTGAATAATTAAATATACAAAACCCTCTCATATATATGTTGGATAAAATCCCATTAAGTTAGTAACTACTCCTTTTCCAACTGCAATTATTAAATCTTATCTACAAAATCTTTTGCTAAACAAGTATTCTGCTACTTCATTCTCAAAATGTAACTCCTTCTCCTATAGGTAATGTAAATGTTATCGCTTATGGAAATTTTTAACAGATTTACTCTAAGTATTATGAAATATTATTCACTATAGAGTTATACAATATTAGTATCTGAAACTTAATATTGAAAATGTAATTACAAAATAGATTTATGGATTTTGAAGTTCATGAATAGTATTTGATAGAGTAACATGTGTTTCATTAATTTTTTTATGATAGTCTATTAGTGAGTTTTCTTGATCAAGTTATTCTAAGTTAATAAAGCTCATAAATTAAAAACGTATTATATATATATATATTACTATCAAAAACGGGTAATAAGTATAAATCACATGATCATGGTTGGATGCATAATAAATAATTAAAAAAATGGCTAGATCATTAACAATATTGGCTATTGTTATTGCAGTTGCTACAGCACGATTGACTAAGACTGAAAGTCCTAAAGAAATTTTGGCTTAAGTCAACAAGGATTCATTTGGTAATTCCATCCTTTCAGTTCTCCAACTCTAATTGGCTACTGGTGGACCTGTTGGAGAGATCTAAATCCTTTTAAATAACATTGCTTCTTAATTGAATGGAGATTAAAAGAAAGCTGACAAAGTTCACGAAAGTGACACTGTTGCATTTGAGAAGATCATTGCTGACTTAGAATAAGAAATTGCTTATCATTAAACCTAAATTGTTGCCCTCTCTAACTTGAGAGATTCAACAACTGAAGCCTTAGGTGAAGCTGAAGCCGAAGTTAGAGTTGTCACATCTGATATTGCCAATAACGAAAAAAGTTTTGCTGACGAATCAGCCACCAGATAATCATAACACGAAACTTGGGTTAGAAAAGATGCAGAACATGTTGATTAAATGGATGCCATCGATGAAGCTTCAAAGATTGTTCAACATTTATAAGCTGGTGTTGCATTTGCTTAACTTAAGAGCAGATTTGAAAAAGTCTAAGCTAAATTGATGGAAAGCAAGCATGCTCTCTTCAAAGTATTATATTATTTGCTATTATTTTACAGCCACTCATCAATGCCTTGACATAATTAGCTTCCAAGGTTGATAACAAGAGTATCATCAAAATCTTAGAACTCTTGGCTTAAATCAGATAATAATTGGTTGCCAGTAGAGCTTCCCTCCTTGCCACTGAAGAAAGATAAGCTGCCAATTGGGAAGTCTAAAGTGGTCACTTGTAAGAAGAACACAAGAGATTAGTTGAAAGAAAAGCATTTTTAGAAAACTCTATTGTTTAATTCAAGGTCACCATCTAAGAGGCTGTTGAAGACTTAGAAGATTAAACTGTAAAATAATTATACTATTTTAGTTATTCCTTGAAGATGCTGAAGATTCATTAGCTATCTAAGAAAGATGGGCTGCTGAATAAGAAGCTTAATATGAAGCTTAAACATTCGAAAGAGAATAATAATTGGAAGTTGTTGAAAGATTATAAGAAGTCTTAACCTAAAAATTAAGTGCAGCTTCAGAATTCCTCCAAATTAGAGAAGAAGTATTTTGATTTATCAGAATAATCAAGATTTAAAATATTATTTCCCTATATTTAATTATATCTTTTATAATAAAAACAATATCAAATTATATGATGTATATATAGTTCATTATTGTTTGATGCATAAATATAATCTGGACCATTTGAAAAACATATAGACTCTATGAAATTATCTTATTTTGATTCATTATAACATTTCCATTAATTTAATTGATCTTTCTACCATAATTAAAGTACATTAGATTCTCCTCCTATAGCTAATACTGATGAATCATTATTAAATTAAATAGTTCTAATTTTAGCATTATTATTAAAAATCTTTTAATTTTCTTTATATTCTCTTTATTTTGATTCACTATTATTAAAACAATGAACTAAGCCATCTTTTGTACAAATTATTAAATCTTAATCATTTTAACTAAATAATATTCTTTTTGGACTATTGTACAATTTCAATTATTAAATTAAGATTAATTTAGCTTCATCAATTCTCCATAAATTTACTTTTTAATCAAAAGCTCCTACAGCTAATATTTTACCATCATTTGAGATTTCTAAACTTGTAATTATTTCACTTGATTTTACTTATTAATATTTAAATTCATAGTTTTATTCTTTTAATTCTAATTAAACAAGACGATTTCCTTCTGAATAATAAATTTATTTTTCAGATTTACTAAAAATAACTTAAGATATTCTTGATATTCCATGTCCTTGTGAAACAATTGGTTTATAAATTTGCTTATTTATCCAAGTATCCGCTTCTTTCCTCCAAATCTTAATTGAGTAACTATTCTCTATATTATTAGAGAATTAGAATGTGTTTTATCTAAAATCTTCACCACATGTTATAAAAGCATTTTCTAATTTACTCATTTTAAAATCTATCAAACTTTGTATGTAACATTAAAGTTGAGTCCAAAAATTCCATTTTTTTCTTTCAGCATCATACTTCCAAAAACTGATGTAATTTTTTGATTCAACTTATCTAATACAAAGTATTGATTAATCATAATTTAATTAAATATCAGCTATTGAACATTTTTCTTTCAAAAACATTTTTTCACTTTTTTTAATTTAAAGTATTCTCTAAATTTTAGTTTCTGTCTTAAAAGATTCTTTTATTTGACTATTTAATTAATTAACTTATTAATTTTATATATTTTCTACATTTTTGATATCATTTTCTTATTTAAAGTTGAGAATCTATTATTTCAAATTTTATATGAATTCAAAATATTGATTTGATTCAGCTAATTATTGATCATCAATATCTTTAAATTTTAGGGTATAATTAAGATTTTATTTATTAAGAATAGTATGTTTTGACAATACTTCTGCTAATTATTAAAATTCTTAGATTCCAAACTTCATTATGATTTGATCTTATTAATAAGTGTTGGTAGAATCATTTAATATTTCATTTTCTAATTTCTTTTTACAATTAACAAAGTTATTTATTAATTAAAGGCTATTTTCGGAAAGTCTCTAAAAAGATGTAATCTTCATTAACTTATTATTTAATTATTGAAGTAAATCTTAGATTTCTTCTATTTGTTTTTAAAATTTCAATTAGATTGCATGAGTTGCTTAAAAATTATTTTATTCAATGTTTTGATAGATATTCTCACATAAATTACCAAATATAGATATAGGAATACAATTTTCATCTAACTAACACTAAGAACATTTCATTCTAGACTACCTCTCACACATCAATGATAGATCTATGGAGTTTAAGGGTTGCTTGTGTTGTTTACATGATAATTGGACTCCTTGATAGGTATTATTTTTTTGAATGTGGAATTATTGTGGATTAAGCATTTATATATATTAAATTAAATGTTTTAATTAAATAAAACTCCTTAAATACTAAAAATTGTTTCAGTATTAAACAGAATAAATATGATATACACAATAATCTTATGAATTCTAATGCATCTTAGAAATTTAATAAATTGTTTATTATAATAAAAAATATTATTATTATTATTATTTAAAGAATATTCAAAATTCCCTATAAATAAAATTGTATTTCATACATCTAAGGTGAAAATTATTGAGTTCAATAATATTGCTGGAGATTAACTTTTAATATTTAAATTTTTATTGCAAATGAGTATTAAACTGGATATCTATAAATATAATTCAATAAGAATTTGAATTATCTTTATAACTGTATTGAATTAACTCTTTTCAATCAAAAAAGTTTATGTACTTTATATTATATTCATTCATTTCTTATTGTTATTTTTGTAAACTTTGAGATAATTATTTTAGTAAATAAATAAATATATTACCAGAATTAATTACATAATATAAGCTTATGTATTAAATTTTCAGAACAATGAAAATGATGAAATAAATTATAAGACCAATTAGAATTTGTACTCCAATAATAGCAACAAATAACTATTTGAACATTTACAATTTGAATTAATTCTTTTTAAGGATGTCGATGGAAAATAATGATGAAGATTTGGAACCCCTAAAAGTAAAAGAAGAACAAAATATTCGTAGGTTACTCAAGAATCGGATATGAGGTGCCCTCAGATGATTGTTTGATTTATTCATAAAATCATAGAATTTAATAACCATCTTATCACTATTTTAATTTAATATAGTAATAGTGTTTTATGTTATTTTAATAGGAAGTATGTTAACAAAAAATAATCTCAATATTGTTTCTTATATTTCTTATTAAAATCGCTCAAATATCTAAATTAGATTTTTATATATAAATATTTTGATAAATTTATTTTTCTAGAAATTTATGCAATATCTAATCAATTAAATATAATATTATTATTTTAACATCTAACTCAATAGAACTATCATTCATTAAATTAAATATATAATAAACATATATTAGAATTAGATATTATTTAAATGAGTATATATTAAAAAGCAATCAGAATAGGCAAAATTTTTATGTTAAGTATAGATTTATTAAAAAAAGGCTTTTTCAATAAGCAAAATAAATTGTATTGGTATTATTATAATACAAAAGATAATAACTATCACTCTTTTTATAATGTGATTTTTAAAATTAATAAATATAGATAAATGAAAAATTTGAAATTTTTTATTACAATTAATTTCAAATTGTGAAGAATTCTTTTCAGCTGTTTCAAATACTGACTCACATTTTAATTGAAAAATTGATTTTGATTACATTTATGTATAAACTGTGGATTAATATAAATAAATTTCCAAGTTGAAGGGATTAGATGGTGATCTTTATGTCTTTAGACAAACTTTGATATTTGGATGATCTATTAATGAAACAATAATTTATAAAATCATAAGAGTAATGGTGATCTTTTGTTGTACAATCTCTTAATATACCAAATCTGCCATATTGTAACTAAAACAATAAATATAGTTTCGATAATTGTAAATAAATAGATTTTCTTATTGGCTTCTTTAACTTATTGAGTTGATGATTCATATCTGATTTATTAAAATTTATGATCATAATATAATTCTGAAAGTCCATTATGAATATAATCTATATCTAATTCTAATGGATCAATATCTGTTGATTTTATTTTGTCTTCTTTATTTTTAACAACATCAACTGCATAAGTAAGTAATTAATTAGTCTTTTTTTTATTGTTAAAAATAATTGAATATAAACCAATTTCATTTGCTTAAACAGTGAAATTTCCTTTATTTGTTGCCATTTTAGAATATATAGTTTTTCCAGCAGGAGTTTTAACAGAGAAGTCAATCACATCTTTGTGATGATTGACTTAATATGCCCCTTTAATTAAAGTTGGTTCTGTTATATTCTCTAATAAAACATCTTCTTAATTAGCTGTTAAGGTGAAGGTTATAATGTCATCAGGAATAAAATCATAAAAACATTATACACTTACCAAAAACGTGGCATAAATAAAAAAGTATTTCATTCTAAAAATAAATTAATTAAATATCTCATATAAATTCATTCCATTTGTTCAACATCTTAAGCATTGTCTTATATTCTAAATCCAATCTATTTTCTTTGATTTTATTTCATTTTTTGTCTTCTAATCAAAAATACTACTAAAGATATTAATAAAATTAATGTAAATATTCCTAAATAAATGTAATACATATTATTTTGATTTTTGAATGTTATTTTGGTTTCATCATCATTTAAATAATCTTGTTGTCTTTTATTCCTCATTATTTCTTTTTAAATGATTAATTTTATTAAATTTCTTTCTTCATCACTCAAATCATTAACACCATTCTTACTTAAATAATCATCAACTTCCTTTTAGATTTCTTCCTCAGTTTTACCTTACTTCAATAATTCTCTAATCAATTCTCTAACCTTTTATCTATATTATTTCATTTCCTAGGTTGGCTAACTTTGCTCTTCCTATTACTTTACATCATTAATTATTTCATCTATACTATTGTTATTATCATCTAATAATGTAGAATTGGCAAAGAAATAATCAATGAATTCTGTTAACTTTTCTCGAATTTTTTCTATTGATAAACCCTAATCTAAAAACTCCTATATCTAATATTCTATTTCCATCAATTCCTATTCATTTTTCTCTTAAATCATTTTATATTCTAAAATATCCCATGTTGCATTAGTACTGCGATCAGGGTTACTTTAAAAATTTTCAATTTCCTTTTTGATGATCTATAAAACCACTTTACTATTAAATTCCTTAGAGGAATCTATTAAAGTTTTATCTAAATTTTGAGAAATCTTTGTCATTACAATATTCTTATCTGTTATATTTAGTTGACTAAAATATTATATATCCTTTTCTAGTTTTGAATGTTCTTATTCATTCTCTTTTTCAAGTTCCCCAACCATTCCAATAAGAGAAAGGAAAATCTTTTATTTTTCTTCTTAAGTAGCTTGATTATAATATAGAACACCTTCATTGAAAATATACCCTTCAATTAATTCTAATTCCTCTTCTTGTTATTAAGTTAAATTGTTTGCTAAATGTTCGAAAATTTAATCTAATGCTTAATTAGATTGATCCCATTTATCTCCTTATTTTTATGGACTTCCCGCTTATAAATTTCTTCCTTATGTTTAAATTATAAGAATCAAAAGAATTATCATATTTATAATTAATATTTTTCTTATATTGGACAAATAATATATCCAACATTCAGTCAAAATTTCTATTAACATTATACAATCCTATTATTTAAATGATTTCTGTATGCAAGACTGATTTATTGTATTTTTTTAAATATATAATTATATTTATCAATTTTATTATAATTTATTATTTATATTATGAATTGATTATGATAAATTAATTATATATTTAATTTTTATCGTTAAACTGTTTTTGCTATGACTAGTGAACTTAGTGAGGATAGTAGTTTTTATGATCTCAAGTTTCCAAGATCTCTTACTACAAGTGTTAGAAAACAAGGATAGGAAGACTATTTTTTTGAAATGAAGGAGAAACAAAAGCAAATTGAGGATTTGACTTATTAGGTTAAATTGATGGCAGCAAATAATTAAACTTTAAATTTATAGAATTAGATGCAAAAAAGTGAAATAGAAAGATTGCTTAGATTTATTAATGAGTAATAAAATGAAATGAAAAAAATGGCATAAAGAGATAATAAAAAATAAATAAATACTAGATCAATCAAAATGCAATTAATAAATAAAATGTGTCTATGGGCTAAATAATTTCCATTAGATTAATAAATTTAATTTGAATAAATAGTTTAAATGATTATATGACATATTTCTAATTCAAAATAGAGTCATTAAAATTAATTTTATTAGAAATTTAATTTCTATCATAATTTCATTAAATGGTTTCTCTTTTAACTAAATAAAATATTTTCATTCTATAAACCTGATATTTTTTGTTTATTTAAAATAGATACTAATTCATATCATACAGAGATTTCTAAAATATTATTATGGTATTATTAAACTTATAATTTATTTTTCATATATAATATTTTGATATACAATATTTTTGATTCAATCAGCCTTTTAATTTGAAATTATACCCTATCCTAGATATTCACATATAACATCAAATTTATCTGCTGCTGCATATAGTTTTTCTTTGAATGGTTTTGTTTCCTTTGATGCTTCAATAAATTCTTATTTTCTTTTGAAAAACATCTATGTATCTTATGGACATAGGAGACATGCTCTTTCACTAGATATATTCTATAAATATTTTTATACGTATGAATGCAATGTTCATGATAAGAATGACCACAAAGGAAATGATAAGAAGGTAAACTCAATATGGCATCACAACAATTACACTTAGTTGATTGGAATACTTTAGCTTATGTTTTTAATTTCTTATATTCAGCTCTTAAATCAGCAGCTTTCTTCATTTTTTCTTTAACAACTTTTTGACAATCATCAATTTATTTTTTATCTTTTGATATTTTATTAGTGAAATAATTCTTGACTAATTTAAAATTAACATTTTTATTTTTAGATAAGATATTTAAAATAAGTAAAGGCGAAAGATTTTCTAAACTACTCACTAAAACTAAAACTTTTTCAATATAATTTTCTGCACCATTCTCAGGTTTAGCAAAATATTTTAATGCTTATATCCAAAGATTTGTTTCTTCTCTACCATAATCACTACATAAATTAATAATTTAATCATTCTCTTTCAAACTTATATAGAAATTTAATAATTCTTCTCTCATTTATAATTTTTTCAATAAAAAAATAATACCTGGAACAAAATTGTACATTTTGAACAATACTAATAAATGATTTTTATCATATTTCTTCTCATTTTCTTAGTTTTCCAATAATTTCATAATTCCTTATTCTTTACTTTATAATTATGTATCTCTAATAGCAATTTTACTCTCATCTTTATAATATAATTAATATTTTTCTAAATGATATTCAAAATATCTATGAAATATGGCTTTTTCATTTGGTAAAGTCTTACAATTTTCAATTAAAAATTTCAAATAACTTTCTAAATATTCATCATTAACAACAAATAAATGTAAAAATTCATCTGGTTTACCAAATGTAATAGAAAATACTTTTTTAATTTCTTCATCTGATAAATTGAAATATCTCCATACTTTCAATTCTTCAGGAGTCAAAATACTAATTGATTCAATCCCTTTTTGAGTGTCTACTCTTTTCTTCAAATTTTACACCATACTAATAAGTAAAACTAAATTTTATATGATTTCAAGACATAATTCTGGTTCAGCCTTCATTAATTATTGTCCAAACTCTTTCAAATATTATGCCTATATTAATTTATAATAATATATACTTTTTCATCCAATTAGATCTCATCTTTAATATACATTAAAGCACTTTTACAATCTTATCTATTCTATTCTTTATTATTTTAATCTTTATTTGTTTCTATGAGTATACTGAGATAAGCTTCATTTTTTTATCTAGATTTTGCTAATCTAAGAGCCAAATCTATATGACCTAATTATCTGCATTCTTTAATAGCTGTATCAATATCAAATAGATCTGAATCAAAACTAGATTCCTTAAGAAATTCTTCAAGTTTAGTTATTTATTTCTATTTTACATAACAATTCAATAATAAAGCTGTATGATTTTTATCTGCTTACTTTTCATGAT